ATTGCATCTCAGAAGTATGTGAAAGCGGTATCAGGCATACGATCACCACAGCGCATTTTGGTAGCTAACAGATGTAATACTGAATATGAGTGAAACGAAAATCTCTAAAAAGTTATATCCAGGGTCGAAATTTCCAATTTGAGAAAAGGTGGAAGAAAGACAAAATGTATCATGGCAGACTCTGACTAAGAGCAACAATCCAAGGCTTTTCAATCCAAGTCGTTATAAGCAGCTTTACACTCTTTAGGACTCTACAGATAAGCAAATGTAGCTTCATATCAGCATTAGTTAAAAATGCAATTGAGAGATAACTTACATAGATGTAATTTTTTGCTTTTTAAAAAGAAATAATTAGATAATAATTTATTTGTATTAAATGACAACTCAAAAAGCTCACCACAACGTCAGCAGTACGTTTTATAGCACTCTGTAATGATATGTTTAAATCTAAAATTCTGCTACTGAATGGCTTTCTTATTACTAAGAATTTCCCCACCAATTAATACTCACAAATGTTGTCATTCAAACTGACTTGACCGCACAAAATGTTTTTTTGCTGCATATACAAATCCTTAACAGGGTGATAAATTAATGTTGATACTAATTTAACATCTCCTCAAAAGACAGAAGGCTTCTTTTCTACTTAGACCAACACATATTTTTTCAAATTATTCTACTATTCAAACGAATTCTTAAATACATGACAGATTGCTCTCTTCTGTTGATATGCAAATTTTAATAATCCTTTATTAAAAATGAACTTTTCAATACTTTACACACAAGTTTTCTCTCCTGTGTGAATACGTGCATGAGTGTTTAAATTACCCTTTTTTCTAAATGACTTCTTACATACTTTACACACATGCGGTTTCTCTCCTGTGTGAATAAGCATATGGCTGCTTAAAGTACACTTTTGACTAAAGGAATACTGACATACTTCACACACATGAGGTTTCTCTCCTGTGTGAATAAGCATATGTATGTTTAAAGCATACTTCTGACTATATGACTTCTTACATACTTCACAAACATGAGGTTTCTCTCCTGTGTGAATAAGCATATGAGTATTTAAATGACCCTTGCCTCTAAATGACTTCTTACATACCTCACACACATTAGGTTTCTCTCCTGTGTGAATAAGCATATGGCTCCTTAAAGTAGACTTCCGACTAAAGGAATTCTGACATACTTCACACACATGAGGTTTCTCTCCTGTGTGAATAAGCATATGCTTGTTTAAATCACCCTTGTGTTTAAATGACTTCTTGCATAGTTCACACACATGAGGTTTCTCTCCTGTGTGAATAAGCATATGACAGCTTAAAGCACACTTCTGACTAAATGACTTCTTACATACTTCACACACATGAGGTTTCTCTCCAGTGTGAACAAGCACATGGGTGGTTAAAGCAGACTTCTGACTAAATGACTTCTTACATACTTCACAAACATAAGGTTTCTCTCCTGTGTGAACAAACATATGGATGTTTAAAGCACGCTTCTGACTAAATGACTTCTTACATACTTCACACACATGAGGTTTCTTTCCTCTGTGAATAAGCATATGGATGTTTAAATTACTCTTCTTACGAAATGTCTTCTTACATATTTCACATACATAAGGTTTCTCTGCTGCGCGAGTATGCGCATACATGTTTAAACTGAACTTTTGACTTTATGATATCTTTAATACTTCACACACATGATGTTTATCTCCTGTGTGAAAAAGCAGATGATTGTCTGAATTAATCTCTTAACGAAATCTCTACATACCTCACTTATAAGAGCATTTTCTCCAATGTGAATTAGCATACGCATCTTAAAATTACTTTTTCGACAAAATGACATTGTACGAATTTCATATGTTTGAGGTCTGTGTTCAGTATGGATATGCATGTGCTGTTTTACATATTACCTCTTCAAAGTTATTTGCTACTATGTAACAAACTATGAACCTAGAATATGTAATTTCAGAACATGAACATCCTCGTCCTAAAACATCTGCAATATATTGATAACTGTAACTGACATTCTTAATATAATAGAATTTGCTACATATCTCGTGATGACTTTCATCCTTTGAAGGAACGTAAAACGGGATGCTTAACAGAAGTTTTGATAAAAGTAGTTTTAAGATGGTTCACTCTAGCATTTCATGTCTCACGTAAATACGCATTTTTTTTCTTCATAAAAGAATTAACACAAATTATTCATGCGGCGTGTAACCTGTTTACTATTACAGTACCTTGTTTCCAATAACGTTTCGTAGAAAATTAATTTCTTATAGTTCACAAAAGTAAGACTTCCTGCTCGATCATATAAATATGTTTAAACAGGAATTTGCAAAACTGGGTCACATATGGTATGTTACGATCACTTGAAATTTTTCTATAGTTGCTAGCCAATGATCTATAGCTTGAAGAATTTACATGTCAACGTTAGAAATTTAGTAACAACTGTTACAGCTTACACGAAAAAAGAAATCGGGTATTCAAGCTTTGAATACTAAAAACTATGAATCACACTTCAGCATGAAGTAAAATTTAATTAAAGACTCAAATCACAGTTTTAAAACAGCCACTTTCATTAAAAAAATTGTAACTGCGGTAATTATTCAAATAATACAATCAGTTTCAACAAAAACAAACGTTATCATCATAATGTACACATTTACTAAGCAGCAACCTATTAAAACTTAAATATCTATTATTATTGCCATACACAAATTACTAAACTATACTAGCAAAATATAAGTGAGGCTTGCTCACGAGCCACGAAATTTAAAACACAAAACACACAGATCGTATTTTATTCTCGAGTGTCAAGATGTACGGCCGGCGTATTTTTACTTCTTTAATAGGAAACGCAACTCGCGGCTAAATTTGGGGATTTAAGGTCTTGGCGAAATTGTGTGGCTAGCGCATGCGCAGAGATGGACGAAGTATCGTGATGATTAAGGCTCCTCTAAACCAGGCTGAATCACCACCTTTTCTCTCTTGGCGAGGGAGTGAACGCGCTGCCAATTTTTGGCGCGTTTTATCGCACACGCTGGCTGAATGTCTGCTGTTTTTTTAAAGATTTATTTTATAGACGCGCGGCATTCAGCGCATATAAACTTTTCGGATAATTTATTATTCTCGAATAGTATATAGACGTTTTCACTTAAATAAAAAATTTCGCGTATATTTCGTAAACATATTCAAAATAACTTATTCTTTAGATTTTCAGTTTCGTTAGCAGACTAAAATAAATAAGATATGAATAAAAACTTTCAATAGTGTCAAATGGGGAAATAGTTAAAGCGTAGAGTGTTGCAAATAAATTTATCTTAATGACATTTAACAAAAACTTCCATAAAAACACTGTAAATTCATACTAAAAAATATGTTGTCATTTAAGTCTGAGGTATATGGAAATAATTGGTGCAAGATTCTGAAGAAACACTTTCTTTAAATGGTGAAATATTTCATAACATATATGGAAGAAGAAAATACAGCATTCTCTGTTTTTGGATGCTTTTCACATCAAATAGAATATAAATACGAACTAGAAACCATAATAAAAAGTCCTTCCTCTTCAATCAGATCACCTTTGTGTTGCATTGTATTTGTAATACTTCTAAAATCCAATTTTTACCTAAAAATTAAAAACAGTTATTCCATAAAGAAATAACTTTGAACGTATATAGAATGAATTTTGTAATTTGAGTTATGTACAAAATAATTCATAGTTATATATTTTATACTAAAATTTAGATAAAACCTGTCCAATTTAAGAATGTGTGTTAACCACATTCTTAAATTGTAAAAGGACGACTTAATCAAATGTAATTCTTTCAAAGCATAAAAGAAAGCTTATTTTTATTTTACACAGCAACAGCATTTTCATGCAGTCAAGTTTTTTTTAACTGCTAGTTATTATACATAATACTTAATTTTAAACCCATTCTTATTAGAAAGCATAACTAAGAAACTTCTTTTAAAGCACCACAGTGATTGCAAAGAATGTCGTTAAATTTACAAAAGTATTGAAGATATATTGAACAGCATTATAACAAGAAATACTGTACAAAATATGTAAATTTAGCATAACTTCTTTTTTTAGTATTTGCATAGTTTTCCTCAAATGAACCTTATGGGAATTATCTTGCGAAAATTTAAAAAGTATAAAATGGCCTCTATTTAAGATGTAACTGCATTATAATTTTTGTAATTGCGAATAGATAATATTATTGCAATTAGATTATGCACTTACAACATAATGCATAAAGTAATGAAATTAAGAGTTCACAGACCACAATGTAATATAATTACAATGCAATTATCTAAATTTTAAATTATAGTAACTTATTAATACCACAATATTATTACAACACAATGTAATTTAAATTGGGTACTATATTTGCATACCCTCCACTCAAAAGGGTACTGATAAGCCTGGAAGTTATATCAACAAAAAGCCTTTCAGGACAGTTTGATGACAATTCCACCGGGCGAAAAGTAAATCTTAAGCCAGGCAAATCATGACAATAAAAATCATTTAGTCTTATGATTCACTATATTTAAACCCTAAATTTGAATTCTGCAACCAAATTATTTTACCTATATTTTAACATACTTTATGAATTATTAGAAGCGATATGGCGAATATCTTCTAAAAATAACTAAACATATTTGTTTCATTAATTGATTCAGATACACACTTTTATTATTTAAGTATATCAAAATAACAGTTCATGTTCCTGAAATACAAAATTATGGAAAAAGTTAAAGTAATATTCTTAGAAGCATATGATATTAGTCACCAGATGCAAAATTATAGTTAATTTTTTGCCCTAAATACAATTTTATTACACAGTAGTCAAATGTGTAACTAATACATGTTATATAAAAAATTATGATAATAAGTTTATCAGAAATGAATTATTCTGCAAATAAACTTTCTGCACTTGAAAATTTTCTACACCTGAGGGGAGGGAGAGATCAGTAAATTAGATTTATTATAACTTCAGTTGGACCAAACACCTTCTCTATATATATATGCATCACTAAAGAAATAAATAAAATTATATGCTAAAAAACAGATATACCATACCAGTTTTTTTTCCCCTTGTTACCCTTTACATTGAGAAATAACAAACACTGAAAATACTATCCTTGAAATTTGTTAAATGAAGAAACACACACCATCTTTTTATTTAAGCATTACAATTCAAAAACAGATACACATACCAACTTATTTTCACTATCCTTTATACTGAAAAATAACATGCCGTATAAAAATGAAAGACATTACCCTTGAAATTTAGATAAAATGAAGAAACACATACCATCTTTTATTCATGCATTACTAAAATGAATAAAACGATTATTCTTCAAAAACAGGATACACATAATATACAGGATACACATTCTGACACATATTCATGAAGATTCACTGAAACAGCACAATCATCCAGTACTATAATATAACAAAATGGAAAAATTTATGCACGATGGACATCTTTTTTCTATTGCATGTTGTCTGACATGATCCACAAGTGCCAAAAAATGTACCCAAAGAAACACATTTCAATATTAACAAAAAATTTTGTACAGATTAAAATTCATTCATTTCATACCAGTATTTATAAAGATCATGCATGAAACAATCTGCTTTCCCATATTTAAGTAAAACTTTTATACTGGAAATAGACTATATTTCTATATATTAGAAAACAAGAAATACTAATTTGAATGTTCTGCATTCATTTCTAAATCTTTACTCATTGCCAAATTCATCATTATAGGCAGATTTATTTGATTGTTATGCATGCAAAACACTACACATGCATTAAAAACATACAATTATTTTGAAAAATACACATGCAGTTTCACAAGTTTTTCTGTGCTTATTTGAATGTTCTGCATTCATTTCTAAATCTTTACTCCATTGCCAATTGTATAATACTGTGATTATAAATAAAACTTGCACAATCCTTGCAATTATTGAAGTCAGATTATATATATTTTGTCTCAACTATCAATTTATTCTATTGACTTCAGATGTCAATGTCAAAATTCTGGAAGGTATTTTTAACCAAAACAGTAGTGGGTTCCGTGCATAAAAACTCATCTACTTTTAACAATAGTGATTATAAAATAAAGGAAAAATTATATATCATTCCAACGATATTGCAACTATGTGTAATGTTACATATATCTTTAGAAACATTCAGATTTATTTTGACTTTCCAAATTATTATTTATTTTTAATAAATTTCAATATGCTAATGATTTCATGTTACATTAGTATAAATTCCACAATTAGCACAGAAAACAAAATCCGCGCTTTATATTAGAAGAGAAATTTCTTTTCCACATTCAAACCATCTACATTGGCGATGTTTGGCGACTGTAACTTAACCCTAGACTAATTAATTATAGCTATTATTACAGAAATTAGCAAATACTCAGGTTATTGTACACAGAATTCACTTTACTTGCACATTATAACATCAGAGAAGATATAAACTCTAAATGAAGGCGTAATTAACATTATACTTACTAAGCAAAGTTCAGCCCTGGACCAGGTTTCCAATTGTCTCTTCGGCAATTATTTACCCATATTTTTCTTTTTCTTTCTTCATTTTAGGAAATTTTACCAATGTATGACTTTTCCGTGAATGATTGAA